ACGTGCCCTAGTGAACAGGTCTTCCCCAGCCTTCTTACAGGCCCCTTTCAGGTATTGGAAGGTTGCTGTAAGGTCCCCCTGGAGTCTTCTCTTCAGGCTGAGCAACCTCATAATACAAACATGCAGAATGTGTGTGTATATGTATGTGCTATCACCTGGCTTGTTTCCACCAGTGATTTTTTTTTTTTCTTGATTATTCATCTTTTTGGAGAAGGTCACAGCTCTGTGTGTTCAGCATGACTGATGTAAAGGGTGTTGATTACTTCACGTAAACCTAGCAGTCTAAATACTGGATGGGTATGGGATAATCCAGTCTTCACTGATGGGAAGAAAGTCTGGGTGCCTAGAGGATGATTAATCTCATCTGCTTTGGAGAGGAGCTCTGCGGCAGAGTGCCTGTGAGACATTGTTAGTGGGGTGGGATGGGTCACTCTCTGGAGTGCTCTGTCTCCCCAGCCCAGGTGAGAGCCTGTAGTCAGCCATTCTAGATTCGGTAGGCTAGGTTAGCTGAGCTGAATTGTGTGAGACAGGAGAGACAAAGCTATGCATTTTATCTTCAAACAGCACTAACGAAGATGGGAAAGCTGTTAATTTAGGGCTTAGTTCTGAGCTCCAGCTACATGGTCAGAGTTTCCATTGACTCATAAGGGTTGGTCCATCCTTTGGAGTCTTACTTAAAAAAAAAAAAAAGTTAAGGGTAGGAATTTGCGTCTAATGAACCCTTCCTTATTTCTGGAGAAGCTGATCTAGATTATAATTAAAGTGGAATTTGTACATTGCTGAGATAAAATAATGTGGAATTTATATGTTGCTTAGATAATTATAACTGGATAGGGTCAAACCCACGTGTCATCTGCCTTTAATCTGTTAAGGTTTGTTTGGTTTTTAAATCAGTAGGAAGCTCACAGAATAAGCAGGCAAGGTGAATAAAGTGTCAGACTGTACTTGGAGGTTTAGGAGTTTTGATTATTTCTTTAGAAAGAGAGTTGCTTGGGGAAAAAACTAATGCTGGGAAAAGGACAAAGGGTAGATGTAAATTCAAACCTGCGTAGGCATGAGGGAGAACTGAGCTGGGTTGTTAGTATGTCTTTCTCATGATTTTGAGTTTTCCCATGGTGAATTGAATTGGGGCATATACACAAAAACACAAGACCAGCAGTTAAGTAATTCTCACCTTCTCTTTCTGTGCTGAGCAGCTGGAGCAATGTTGTATGTCTGGTCTAACACTGAAAAATTGTTGCTGTGCTACTTCTGCTTTGTCTCTTTTATGGCTTTATCAAGCTGAAAGCCTTTTGAAGTCCGTGGGTCATTTTCTTTTCTTCATATTGTGTGTTGTTTCTAAATGAATTAGCTTCCAAGCTAATCTGTCACAGATTTAATTATGGTACACCATCACAAGGGAGTTGCTTTTTTCCTGATACCAAGCAAGGAACTTTATTGAATAAGGAAAACAGGTGTGTGCATAATTCTAGTTTCATCTTCCACTTTATCTGTTTCACTGTGCAGCTACTCCAGTCTTTTTTTTGCTAAAAGATTAAAGAAGAAGGTATCTGGATAAAAAGAATAGTTGGGTGTGTTCTTTGAGTGTATGAATATGCAACATCCTGAAAGTGGCTAAAGTGCACACTTTGCAGAAGAGGAATTGTATTCAAGTATCTTGGATCCTTCCTCCATACTATCCTTACCACCACCTTAAGTCAAGGAGAGAGGCTTGTTACAACTTTTTAGCCTCATCTTTCTGTACTTCTTTCTTTCCAGACCCTTAGGATTTGGAGATGAACCTCTTGATGTTGCTGCTCTGCTCACAGACATGTTGTTGAGGGAGGTTTATCTGTGCCCAGCAGCACTTTTTTTGCTGCCATTTTTCTAACTCCTCTTTCCTTTACTTGATTCCAAGGCTGTTTTGTTATATTATCTGTGATGAAAGGTTTGGGAGTATTCCTTCCCTCACTTTGCTAACAGTATACCTTCAGCTGCACTTCTTCCATCTGTAGCTTGCTCTGTAACATCCTTTAGGTAATGACAATTTGGGGTAATAGCAAATACCACAGTGTTCTCCTTGCTATAGGCTCATGTTTTGCTAGACCTTTGTACAGATGTTATTTGGATCATATTCTATGTGAGTATAGGGAGTACATGAGAGAGGCTTTGTGGAAGTTGTGCTGCTTCTTTTTTTCCATCCCATGGAAGGTCTTTTCTCTAGCTATAGGCAAGTGTGTTCTCTGCAAACATAAAATGGTCCCCCCAGCCCAATCTATTTGTTGAGTTGTTTTATCAGTTTCTGAGGTGGTCAGCTATACCTGACTTACCTTGATGGGAGGGGTGCTCAAGAGATTAAAGCCAGGAATCAGTACTAGCTTGGCTTCCTGTAAAAGTGATGGCAGATTTATTTGCTTGAATGTCCGGGTGCAGGATTTCCAAGGGCACTAAGCTGCAAGCTATTCCTTCCTCCTCTTCTCTGTCTCTCACTCTTGCTCTTTTTTTTTTTTTTTTTTTACTATCTTAAAAAAACAAAGTAGCGTAAGTGGTCTATGCCACAGAAATATGTTTGTCACACTACATTGCTTTGAACTGCATAAGATCAAAGAAAATCAGTGCTTTGATAACTTGATTTGAAAGGATTGTAGAAATAGCCATCATTACGAATCATGACAGATAGGAAAGGAAGGGGTGATGATTTTCAAACAGTAAAGATTGTAAGGTAAGGTAAAACGTAAGGTAGCTGCCAGTGCCATGTTCTTACCTAAAATACCCCAATCTTATAACTGCTGTGTAGCTTTGCAGAATATGATTTACTTGAGGATATGAAGAAGAATGAGAAATACTCTGTGTAAAAGTCTTTTTGAGGAACAAGGAAATAAACGTGTGCTCAGAGAAGGGCTGGAATAAGGGAGAAAACAATGCATTGCTGTTTGGGTAGGAATAACTTCTACTTTCTCTTTTTTATAAAATCAGTCTTCCTGAAGGGAAGAGCATCCAAGATTGCTTGTTGAGACGCTTCTCACCCCAGAGACCTTCAGTTCTTAGGAGCTGAGGGACCAGCCCTCTCTAGGGAGGAGGAAGGAAGCCTCCCCAGCTTTATCATTGCACTCCTGAGGAAACTCTGTGGACTGGAAGGACTTTCTGGCTCTAGGAGGTGGCAAGAATTTAGGCCTTAAAATGTTGACTTCTAAACTGCAAAAGTTTTAGTTTAGGATTATGGCAATTCAAATTGGAGTTTAGGTTATTTTTGCCTTTGTGGAGTACAAGGAGTACAAAGTGGCAGTTAGGTGAAATCAGTGTGTCCTGCCCCATCCTCATCCCCCAGACAAGTAAGTGTTGGCTAGTGGGGAATGTTCATAAAGGTTTTAATATTACTGAGTTAGGAGACTTTAGTCTCATTCAGACGCAGCTTTACCAGCCCATCAGCTGCTCCAGTTGAGCTAGAAAGTACTTCACGTCATTTAGCAGTCTCTATTTCACCCAGTGTGAGGTGATTGCTGTATGTAATGAATGCCAACGTTGGAGCCAGTTGAGGTATAAAGACAGATGCTTCAGTGCTTTTCAGTGAAAGAAAATTCAGAGGTGCAGATAGTGAGGAGAAGGATTCAGATCCTTCACCTCTTTCAGCAAGGCTTGTCCAGAAGAACATTCTGAGATATTGTTAACACAAATATCCCCTTTGAGGGCTTGTTCCCATTTAGCTTGGGAAGGGGGGATGTTCTGTTTTGTAGATTGCTTCATCTTGATCCATGAGCAGAGACACAGGCATACTTCTTGGTTTCCTTTACAAAGGGGCAAGATTTACATATATTTTGCTTTTCAAAACATGGCCTCCATAGCAGCAGTGTGAGTTCCTTCTGGAAGTGTCTTCCAGGGTTACTAGTCAAATGAATGTCACGTCAGATGAACAGGACTGGTATTTCATGTCATCAGAGTGATGCACAAGGACTCTGCTCGTCAGCATTGCTAACCAGCTCCAGCAGAGACTGAGCATACAGAACCTGCCAGAGTGAGGCTCTGGTGCTAATGGTGTGTGTAGCTCCAAATGTCATATGGGGACAGTAGCATTTGAAGGAAGAGCAAAAATGCTATCACGTGTGCTGTGTTGAAGAGGTGTGAACAACAACCACAGACATCTCATTATATCTTATCCAAACATTTTTTGCCTCCCTATCTGAGCAGGTTGTTTAATGTGTCTGTGCTGTCTGTCTTCAACCCTCCACTCTAATATTATTTGAGCCTACTGACTAGTTTTAGCCACAGTTGAAAGACAGATGTCAAATACATGGAGTTTCTATGTGGTTTGTGAAAACAGATGGTCAGGTGAAGGAGAGCTCTGCATCAGTTCTTTCCAACTAAAGCAGTAGCTTTTGACTACATTGTTTTACCCCAGGGACTCCACACAAGTGGGTATGGGAATAGGCAAGGGATCCAGCTGTGAAGTATCAGGCCAACCTCAGACCTTGTAAGACACAGAGTAACCCAGTCATAAGGTGAAAAAAAAAACCTAACCTGCAGGAAATTGAGCTGTGTCACTACTGCATCATCCTTTCCAGCTGTTAGCAGGAGGTGGCTTGCACTCCTCCAGGCAGTCAGTGCTCCCCTATTCTGTTGTAGGGAA